GAAGGAAGGAAGGAAGGAAGAAGAAGAAGAAAGAAAGAAAGAAAGAAAGAAAGAAAGAAAGAAAGAAAGAAAGAAAGAAAGAAAGAAAGAAAGAAACTCTGGGCATGAAGTGGACCAGCAGAGTTGTCCCACTGAGGCAAGGGACCAGGACTTTTCATCTTTCACATGGACCAGACATTGGATGTGAGCTGCTCTAATCGAGAGAGATGGTCTTTCAGCCAAATGAATTCTTGAAGACACAATCAACTATAAGCCCCTGGAGCCCAACACTCCCAGTATTAAGTGAGGGGATGACTGCCTTGGACTCAAGAAAGAACTGAATAATGTATCATAACATCTTAAAGTCTTTGCCTACACCAATGTCTTCAAGAGTTGTACCTGTTCTTTCTTTCAGCAGACCTATTGTTTCTCCCTTAATATTTTGGTCCTTGATTCATCTCAATTTTAGTTTAGTGCATATGGGTCTAATTTTAATATTTGGTATGTGGAAAGCCAATTTTTCCAGCAACATTTACTGAAGAGACTACCTTTCTTTCAGTGAATGTATTTGATACCTTTGTCGAAAGTGGCTAAGTATGTCTGGAGTTGTTTCTGTATCTTCTAGGCTGTTCCACTGAGCCTACCGTATTTGTTTGTACCTTTGTTTATTTGCTAGTGGTATGCTCTTTTTATCACAGCAGATTTGTAGTATAATTTCAAGTCAGGGATTGTGATGCTCCCTGCTTTACTTTGTTAATCTAGGTCTCTTCTGATTCCAAATGAATTTTAGGATTGCTTCTCTAATTCTGTGAAGTATCCTGTTGAAATTTTGGTCAGGATTTCATTAAATCTGTATAAAAATATTGAAAATATGGCCATTTTCACTATGTTGGTTCTTCCTACCTAAGAGCAAGGGGTATCTTTCTATTTTCCAATATCCTTTCCAATCTCCTTTTACAGAGTGCTGTAGTTTTCAATGTAGGGGACCTTTAATTCCTTCATTAGATGGATTCCTAAGTATTTCTTTTTTTTTATGCTACTGTGAAAGTTTTTTCCCTAATTTCTCTCTCAGTGAGTTTTCTATTCTTGTAAGGAAGACTTGATTTTTGAGTGTTGATTTTTGTATCCAGCTATACACTTGGTTATTAAATCTAGAAGTCTTTTGGAGGAATTTTAATTGCTTCTAAGTATAGTACCAAATAATGATAATGATAATTTAACTTCTTCATTTCTTACCTTTATTCCTTTTATTTCTTTCTCCTCTAATTGCTCTGGCTATGTTTCTAGAACTATATTGAATAAAAGTAGTGACAGTAGATATCCTTGTCTTGTTCCTTATTTAGAGTGAAAGCTTTCAGTTTTTGTCCATTTAGTATGATGCAGGCTGTTGATTTGGCATACATGGCTTTCTTCAGATTGAGATGAAGACCATGTATCCCAATGTTCTATAGGGATTTTATCATGAGTGGATGTTGGACTTTGTTAAACACTTTTTCTCCATCTGTTGAGATGATCATATGGTTTTTGTCCTTGATTCTCTTAATATGGTGTGTTGTGTTTATTGATCTGTGTATGTTGAGTTAACTCTGAATCCCTGGGATAAATCCTACTTGGTCGTGGTGAATAATTTTCTTGATGATTTGCTACATTGTTTGCCAATATTTTATTAAGGATTTTTGCATCCCTATAGGGAGATTGGCCTGTAATTCTTTTTCTTGGTTGTGTCTTTCTCTGGTTTTGGTCTAAGGGTAATACTTGCTTCCACAAGTGAATGTGAGAGTATTGACTCCCTTCAATTTCATTAGAGTTTGAGTAGTAGTTGTATTAGGTCTTCTCTAAATTTCTTTTTCAAAAAAATTATTTATTTTTTCATTTATTGGAGACAGGGTCTCAATAAGCAGTTCAGACTCATAGCGATCTTTTTGTCTCAACCTCCCGAGCACTGGGATTATAGGTGTGCACCACCACACCCAGTTTGGGGGTGGGCATCAAGCACCAGGGGTTCTAGAGCCTGCACAGCTTGTGGTACTGAGGGTCGAACCCAGGTCTTTGCACTTGCCAGGCAGGCACTTAGACTGCTGAGGCGATCCCCAGGCTCTCTAAATTTCTTACAGAATTCAACAGTGAAATCTGTCAGGTCTGGGCTTTGATCTGTTGGTAGGTTGTTAATTACAACTTCAATTTCATTTACTAATGTTACTTCTTTAGAATTTTTATATCTTCTTGATTTGGCAATGTTAATTCATATACATCTAGGAATCCCTTCATTTCTTATGCATTTTCCTTCTTATTAGAGTACAGGTTCTCAAAGTAGGGACAGATGATCTTCTGCATTTATGAAGAATATGTTATGATTTCACCTTTTTCATTTCTAATTGAATGGATGTGAATCTTTTTCTCTCATTTTTTGATAAGATTGGCTAACGACTTGTTGATTTTACCAACTCTCCAATTCATTGATTCTTTGTATTGTTTTCTGAGTCTCCATTGCATTGATTTTTGCTCTGATCTTTACAGTTTCCTCCCTCATCTGACTCTACTTGACTTGATCTTCTTTTTCTAGAAGCTTGAGGTTCAGTACTAGATTGTTTTATTTGAGCTCACTGACATGGGTGCTCCTTACTATAAATTCCCTTGTAGGACTGCTTTTCTTACATTCTTAAGTTCTGGTATATTGTATTGGCATTATCACTTAATTGTAGAAACTGTCTAATTTGTTTGTTTGTTTTTTTAGCTTAATTCCTGGTTTGATGCTTGCAAATTACCTATGGTAAGTAGCTTTTTTTTAAAAAAAAATTTTATTTGTTTTTTTTCTTTTAATGTTTTTTGGCACAGAGTCTCACGATCCAGCTCGGACTCATAGTGATCATCCTGTTTTCAGCCTCCCCAGCACTGGGATTATAGGTGTGTGCCACCATTCGTGGTCTCAGTGGCTGGCTCAGTGCCCCCTGGATGCGGGACCTGTGCAGCATGTGGTGCCAGGGATTGAACCTGGGTCCCTGTGCTTGCATAAGCAGGCACTTAGTCCACTGAGCTATCTCACTGGCCCTGGTGAGTAGCTTTATTGCTAGTATTTAGAAACCTTAGGAAATTACTACTTCTCAGAGTGTCCTCCAGATGTAGCTGGCTTTTGGGTTTTGAGTGTGTTGTACAATCCTGCCTCTCCAGTTTATTGGGGGATGAGAAGTTGCTGCAGATTGGGCCCAACCCCTAGTTCTTTGACTGGCCTATTTTGTTTTTATTTTTTAATCTGTTACTTATTTTTTTATTTTGTACAGAGTCTCATGTATGCAGCCTGGACTCATAGTGATCTTCCTGTCTCACCCTCCCCAGTGCTGGGATTACTGGCATGCACCACCATGCCTGGGTCTTGTGGCCTGCATGGCTTGAGGTACCTAGGATTGAACTGAGTCCTCCTGCTTGCCTTGAAGACACTTAGACTGCTGAGTTATCTCCCCAGCCAACCTATAATAATTTTCTATGGCCCTTAGGGAATCTCAGTCTTGGTATATCAGGAAGAAAAACAGGTTAGAACAATTACATCACTTTGGCTAGAGTGGTATAATCAACAATAACAACAGCATTAGACACAGCTTAGAAAATGACAAACTGAAGTAGCTATTAATTTGCCACCTTTAACCATATGAGCTAGATTTATGACTATATAACAAAATCTAAAAGAAATAAGAAAATTGTATGTAATAAGCAAGCCCTCAATGTGGTGAATTCACCCTCAGGGAGAAAATATAGAAGTTGGGGGAGAAATAGAAGAGACAAAGTTTAGAAGCAAGGCTGGAGGATAACAGAGGTTCAGACAAACTGGGAAACTGGTGCAGAAAATAAGAGGGAAAACAGAATGAAGAAATAAAAAGAACAGAACAGCAACCATAGGGGGGGAAAAACGTAGAAACCATGTCCATAGTCACTTAAAAACAGGAACAAATAATGAAGAAAAAAACAGACTCCCCCCAAAAAGAAGGAAAGAGAGAGAGAGAGAGAGAGAGAGAGAGAGAGAGAGAGAGAGAGGAGGAG